AAATCCTGATAAAACTGTAATCTTAAACATGAACGTGTGTAAATGAATTAATGCATGCAAATAAGTAACAATTGTTGAAGCATGTTGCACTAGTGCCAAAAGTGACTGCTGCCAGACCCTCTAACTGCTCACTTCCTTAACAGAAGCAAGCATTCTGTCTTTGTTCATAGCGCGCGCGCTCTCTCTCTCCCTCCCTCCCTCCCTCTCCATAACACAGACTTTTGGGAAAGTACTATAAATGTTTAAGAGAAAAATAGTTAATAATTAATGTCCAAGTATATTTCTTTCTCCTATAGTAGCTCTTCCAAGAAAGCATTATTTCTTGCCTGATACCAACAATCAAAGAATTAAACTATGCCACAAGGAGCCCCAGAAGACTAGAAACCCAGAAGATGAATCCTTGGGAAGACAGAAATAGGGAACAGTTTGCAGCAGTCTGCAGAGGTTTAAGCATGGAAGAAAATTAATTTCCTATGTGAATATTCATGAATAGGCATGAAACTAGTAATAGCTTTGCAGAAGTACATTAAAGTAATTTAACACATCTTCCACATTGTGCAGAAGGGAATTTTAATTTAAAAATCTGAAGTTTGATTAGAAAGTATTGCTGAGGAAATGAAGACCCCTTTTCAAAAGGCTTGCCCATGGTGGCACCAGGGGTCTTCTGGGGCCGGAGCACACCAGAGCGCCGCTCCGGCAGCCCAGGAGCTGGGACAAATGGCGGTGGCAGCAAGCCCCGCCCCCAGCTCCCCACGCTGTGGCCTGTCACCGGTCTCCCAGGGCCCGCGCTGGAGCACTGCGGCCCCGGGGAGGACCGTCAAGATCACATTATAGAGCTACTTCTCTAAATGTGACTGGTGAATCAAAGTTATTGGCACAGCAAATTTGCCTCTAAACTGCCGTAAGCTACAATACTGCACCAGGGATACTGTCACACAATGTGCAGATGGAAATCACAGGTGGAAAAACATCCTGTCATTTTAAGGAAGTAATTAAGCTACATGCAATCTTTATTTGCTTGTTAACAAACTGGATGAGGGCACAGGTCAAACTATGTTGTTTTTTTCTTGCATTTCTGTGTTTTGTTGTTGTTTAATGCTTAGTATCAGATACATGAATCAAGTTTTCAAAAATACTAAGGTCCATCAAGCTGTAGGCAATGACAGCTGGGGACTTTGTGAATTGGTAGAGCTGCCATTATTAAAACCTCCTCATTTCTGCTTACCAGGACCTGTTCAGCACATATAAAGAAAGAGCACCTTTAAATAAGGTCTCCCCTGTGAAACATAAGTTATGTATACCAATAAAATGAATGGCTTCCATGTGATGTCCAGACAAAGTTGAGACCTTGCAATTCTTGTTTATAAATTAAGCCATTCTTGAATACAAGCCATTTTGGAAAGAACATATGGACACCCACTGCCAAACACTGGAAACAGTTGATACATTACAGCTTTAAAAACCTGAAGGAAAACATACTTCTGAAAGCATGCATTGTTGCATTTTTTAAATAAACCTCATTCAGCTTCTTGAAAATGAAACCCTTTATTTCTCCAAAATTAAACGAACGGATTATTTCACCCATATGAGCAAAGATTAGGGTTTGAACCAAACTTTACCAGCAGAGTTTAACATTAGAACCCATTTCAAGACCACAGCTCAGTTGAAACTATGCCGTCACCTCTGACCATGCACATTACTACCAACATTGGGTGACCACGATTGTATCTTGCTGCATTTGTCAGTAGTGTGCTTTATGGCAGAATGCCAACATTACTGACTTTAAGCAGCTTTACAGCATGTCGCCCTTAGTGTAGCGGGGGCCTCAGACCAGGGGACTTTGGGACTTCCCTGGTTAATTCTTTCTCTGCCCCGTACTCATATTCATGTTGTTTTGCCATTGCTGGTGCTCTGTGCTTCCCAGGATCCTTCACCATTGTCGTCCACTACACTGGTGTGCCTTCCTTTTTCCTATCCCCCTGCTTCCAGGTAAGTAAAGTGGGAGCACATCCAACCTGGGCTGAAGGCGCTGCACTGGCTGCCAATAGCATACCGAATCCGCTTCAAAGTGCTGGTACTTACCTTTAAAGCCATATGTGGCCAGGGTCCGACCTACCTGAGGGACCGCCTTTCCCCGTATATACCCCCAAGAGCACTTTGGTTGGGGACCCACCTGGTGATTCCAGGTCCCCGGGAGGTAAAACTTGTGGCAACCAGGGCTAGATCCTTTTCAGTGGCGGCCCCTACCTGGTGGAACGAGCTCCCGGAGGAGATCAGGGCCCTGCAGGATCTTATGCAGTTCCACAGGGCCTGCAAGACGGAGCTCTTCCGCCAGGCTTTCATATAGGGGCTGCTGCTGCCACCATCACCAACGGTGGCAATACTATCGGGTCGCGGGATCGCCCTGGGAATGCCCAGCCACATGTGATATTAACAACGTGGATTGGTATGAATGATCAACTGGACAGTGAGACCCCAATGGGGCTGGTTTGAAGATAACCACTCAAGACCATCTTGACTGAAAGCACTTTATTATTGTTATTAATGTTCTACTCTGATTATTGTTGTAATTGTAATTGTGATTTTAGTGTTTTATTGGGTATTATATATGGGCTGGCGCCCCCTGTAAGCCGCCCTAAGCCCGCTTGCGGGGAGGGCGGGGTAAAAATGCTTAAAATAAATAAATAAATAATAATAAATAAAGCTGAGCACCAATAGGGCTGCCAGGTCCCCCCTGGCAACCGGTGGAGGATGGAAGTGTTAGGGTTGCCAGATCCAGGTTGGGAAATTCCTGGAGATTTAGAGATGGAGCCTGTGGAAGACAGGGACCTCAGTGGGGTACAATACCACACAGACTACCTCCAAAGTATCCATTTTCTCCAGGGGACCTGAACTTTGTAGTTTGGAGATGTGCTATAATTCCAGGGGATCCCCAGGTCCCACCTGGATACTGGCATCCCTACCTGGGCAAGCCCTCCTGAGTGTTATCCTTTCCTCTCTCCTAGCCAGCTCCTGCACAGCCACCCCAGCCTCCAGCTGATCTCTCTCCCCCTTCCCTTCTTCCAGATCCCCTCTGTTGGTTCTCCTTCCCCTTTTGAGTCTATGGGGCCATGAGCCTGTACCTTTCCTCCCACTGGCAGCAACCATGTCACCTCCAGCCCAACCGTGTTTACATCTGACTGAGCTAGTCAGAGTGCCCTGCTGCTGTGTGGGCCTCACAGGGACGGCCTGCAGGCCACACAGCAGTTTTGTGGGGCTGTGATTGAGCAACGTGCTTTCAGGGAGTAGAGAGTGTTGTTCCAGTCATTTCATGGATTCAGGAGACAGTTCAAAGGCAAGCTGAACTAAGATAAATCAAATGACTACACCAGTCTCTGTGCCTTGGATCATTCAGATAGTTTCGGAATTACCACAGAATCGTCTCTTCTTGTGTCTGCTACTCCCACAACACAACAATCTTAACCAGCTTCTGGTAAGTGTCTCTTTGCCTTCACTTGTGTTCTGCTTGTAAAGCAAATACTACAGAGACAGCATATGTCTCCAGTGCTCTGCGCTCCAAAGGGAACCAACCCAGGAAAGTACTACCCTTGGAAAAACTCACTGGAATAGGAGACTGCGTAACAGCATGACTGTAGGATTGAAGGGAGGGCAAATAGAAAAAAGAACCAAGCAAAAGCCACAGGGATGCCCTGAGCAACAACTAGGGTTGCCAGTCCTCAGGAGGGGCCTGGAGATCTCCCAGAATTGCAATTGATCTTCAGACTAGAGAGATCAATTTCCCTGGAGGAGACGGCTGCTTTAGAGGGTGGACTCTCTGGCATTAAAGCCTGCTGAAGCCTTTTCCCTCCCTGAACCCCAGGGGGCTCCACCGCTCAGATCTCCACGTATTTTCCAACCCAGAGTTGGCAGCCCTCACAACAGCTAGCATGATAATGGCACCAATCAGAGTCAAGCCACTACACTAGCGAGGGCCCAAAAAAATCCTTGCGTGGCAAGGGAGCTGTTTGGTGACAATCATAAGGGTCTGGTCAAATGCCCACTTCATTCTCAGCAGAAGCATATTTTTCTGCAAGGTATATTTTCACGCTGAAACATAAAAGGACCATTGTATGCCCTAAACATATGGTTTGGCATGGAGCTTTTAAAATAAGGACATATGTCTAAAGGTAAAGGTTCCCTTGCTCGAAAGCCAGTCGAATTCGACTGTAGGGCTGCGGTGCTCATCTCCGTTTCAAAGCCAAAGAGCCAGCGCTGTCCGAAGACATTTCCGTGGTCATGTGGCCGGCATGACTAAACACCAAGGCGCATGGAACGCTGTTACCTTCCCACTGAAATGGCACCTATTTATCTACTTGCAATTTCTTGCTTTCGAACTGCTAGGTTGGCAGGAGGACATATGTCTACCTGTTGTTTAATAATTAACAGTGGATTCTACTAAAATCACTCATGGAGTAAAGAAGGAAATACTTCTTTACTTAATGAGTAAATAAACGGAGGAGATCACTTCCAGTGGAGGTAATGATGGCCACAAGACGCGGGTGGCTTTAAAAGGGGAATAGACAAGGAAGAGCTCTCCTCCATAGTCAGGGGAAGCAAACCTCTATGCCCAGGTTGTTGGCCCTTTGGGCAACAGGCTAGCTACTGTGTTAAACAGGCTGCTGGATCTGACAGACTCCTGGTCTAATCCAGCAGGGTTCTTTACGTTAACAGAAACCTGCTAGCTGGCTAATGCAATATTCAGTACCACACAAACTTAGCCACACTGTCAGTGTATTAATAAATATTAGTAGCACTGGAAGCTATTTTCACCCTGCTGACTCACCAAGTAACAATACTATTTTGTTTTACTGGCTGGAAACACACACACAAAACACACACCACCTCCCACAATTCCCCCTTGTTTTGAGCCCCACCCAGTCAACCCATGGCTTGCGCTTTATTATTTTGCAGCATGAAACCAGAGTTTTTGCCCTGCATAATCCAACTTTGTGTTGACCAACCTTGTCTGTGGGTCGCTTTGCTCCTTGTTTACGTGGCTATCCACCACTGAGGCTTGTCCTTTCTAGTTAATCTAAAACAGCAGCTTCTCTTGTGATTCAGATCAGGAACTTCTGGGTTTTAAGTACATCCCCCTAAGGCAGATAAGAAAGGCAGCTATTTTTTGCTTGTTATGTGATGGCAATTATATAAGTTTTAAAAACACAGGTAAAAGTAGAGGAGAATCCTTGCTATATTTATAATTAAGGGATAAACAGCAAGATATCTCTGCATCCATTTTTATGTGAAAAACTGGAATATTTTTCCTGCTGTTTCTCCAAATGAATTTTAATCAGTGTTAAATGACTCTGGGAAATGAAGAACTAGTAGGATCTCGGTAATTGCCTAGCCTCTTGCTCAAACCGGTTGCCTTCATTCCAGCTTCAGCTGAAGTCACAGTGTCAAGCCTTTGAAATAGCAGTGGCTGAGTCTAGAGCATCTCTCTGCTGGAGAGAGAGGGAAAAAACTCAGTAATTTTATTTTTAGACAAAATGTTTCTCTTCTGCTGATAATCATGTTCCTGTTCAACGAGAACAGGAAACCCTGAAGCAGAATTTCTTTAAAACAGATCCGTTTCCTTTTCACAAGCTTCCATAGTAATTTTTACTGTGCTTGCTGGTTTGAGTAATCTCAGGAACAAAACAGGAAAGAATCTTCCTCTGTCTTCCTTATGTTTTCATCTTGTCCAAATGAACACCCTTCCCAAGCCTCCTTCATTTCCCCCTTCCCTTCCAGTCTCCTCCTCCAGAGCTCAGCATTTCTTCAAAATTTCCCCAAGACTACATTTTTCCTACTCAGTTACTGAGTTCTATTGATCTGAAAAACAAAATAATATGTCTGAACACTGCAGTGAAGGGTCATTTCTTGTTACCCAAGAAAAAGGTGAACCATAATAGCAATCTCTGTAGTCTGCAGGTGCCATTGTGGTCACAGCAATACAGATTGGGCAATTCTCCCTATGTATGTTGAATCAAAAGACAGAGATTGGCTGCGTATTACAAGGAAAGATACCTGACCTCTTTAGTATGCAGGGCCACTAACCATGTGACAATGCATGTTGCAAGATACAGACTGTCAGTTCCATAATCCAACCCAGTCTGCCTTATCCAACTGACCTCATTTCCCATTGCCTTGCCTTCTCTCCCAGGTTTCACATTTCCACTTCCTCTCCCATGCTCTCTGTGCCTATTATCTGGCCTGCAGTCAGCATCAGCAATTGGTGGGGAAAGGATAGATGTAGATGGGTAGCCATGTTCATCTGAGGCAGCAGAACCAAGTTTGAGTCTAGTGGCATCTTTAAAACCAGCAAAGTTCTATTCTTGATATTTGTGCGTGCACACGAAAGCTCATACCCAGAATAATACTTTAATGGTCTTAAAGGTGCCACTGGCATAAATGTTTGTTCTGGGAAAAGGATAGTCTGTCTTAATGTTAAAGTTCTGTGGATAGTTTTGAGAGGGTGGTGCTGAACCTTACCTCTGGTGGGTCCTTGCATTCAGCAAGCTACTGCCCTAACCTGGATGGCCTAAGGCTAGTGTGATCTCATCAGATCTTAGAAGCTAAGCAGGGTTGGCTCTGTTTAGTATTTGGATGGGAGACCACCAAGGAAGTCCAAGATAGAGGCAGGCAATGGCACATCACCTCTGCATGTCTCTTGCCTGGAAAACCCTACAGGATCACCATAAGTTGGCTGAGACCTGATGGCACTTTCCACCCGCACTACTCTTCAGGAATCTCATATGCTCCAACAGTCCTGTTGACTGATATCTGACACTATGGAAATCACAGTTCCTATTTTCTCTCTTTTGTTGTTTTGGGATGCCTTTTTAAAATAGTCCGTGTCTATAATTGTCAGTCTTAAGGACTCTGTTCTCTCCCCAGAGTCTCTTAAGAGATAAATCTATGAAAGGTAGAAGTAATAGTGGTTGCAGCTGCATTTTACCTGGTGAGCACATGTGTATAAATGCATTCTCTTGAACACTAAGCAACCACATACCCTTCATCTGCTGTATATTTTGAAGTGCCGAAAAAATATTGTATAGGAAAATTATGTTTTCCTGCTGCACTTTAACCAAAAGAAAACACACACTGTTTGTAACAGTGGAGGAAAAACGAACACAAGGTAAAGTAATAGATAATAACAGCAGGTGGAGTAAAGCCTTCAGCAGTGTGAGACAGAAGTGTGTGTGCTCAGGCAATAATAGTGGGCTTAGAAGGATGTAACTCTACCTAGGATGACACTGTTAAAAGTACCAAAGACATCATCTGTTTGGATACAGACAATTTGTTACATAGGGTATCAATACTGCAGAGTATGCTAAAAACGACGATTGTTACAGAATACACTGTCAAAATGGAAAAGTTCATGATGTTGCAATCTGAGGCCATGGGCGTGATATGTGATTTGATGATGAGTTTGAGGTGATTCAATGCAAAAATCCCGAGGATCCATGAGGATCTGTGCTTTGGAACCAAGTTTTTGTGCCATGGCAGCACCACAAACCAGTGCATCCATGATTTTTGTAGTGCAAGCTGTGGCCATGTACATTATGTGATTGGGTAATTAATTTGGGGGTGACCAAAAGTAGAAATCCTTACTTTGGAACCATGGTTTTGTGCTGTGGTGGAACCACAAAGCAGTGGATCCATGATTCTGTGGTGCAATCTGTGGCTAAGGACCTGATATGTAATTTCATGGTGAGTTTGGGGTGACCCATTATGATTTGAAGTTTGGATGGTGTTTTTGCACCATCGTGGTGTCACAAAGCAGTAGATGTATGATTTCTGTGGTACTGCCTATAGCCTAAGATATGATCTACAATATGATGGTGATTTTATTTCATTTCAGTGTAAAAAACTATACTACTTCATGCAGATCCACGCCTCAGATTCATGTTTTTCCACAACTGCAGCACTGCAAAGTATTAGATCCATGTTTTTTATGGTTCAGTCAATGAATCTGGCTTTGACATGTAATTTGATACTGGATCTGATGGAATTTCCTTTTAAAAAAAACCCTATAAGATTGTTATACAAATAACAATGCTTGGCCTGTTTTCAGGTGTCTTGATTGCAGTTAAAATACTAAGATCTTCCTCCTCGTTTTGACTCCAATTTTTGACTGGGAATTCATTTGTATAACAAGATCCAATAGAATTTATGTAGATACAGCTTTTACTCCCCCCCCCAGTCATGCATGAAGATCCTTGAAAATAATTCTTAAAAACAAAACAAAACTGTACAGCCTATTAGATTTCCCGTGGCCAATCAGAAGCTCTGCTAGGCAAAAGCCCCACTTGCCCCCACCCACTTTCTAAAAACAGCAAGCTGGGGACCCCTGTTCCATCTAACAGTAAAGTAAGTGGCTCATGCCAATCATGAAAAATGCACAACTAGGCCACCTACAGATAATGGAGCAGTTTCAGGTATTTTGTAAGCTGATCAAAAGAAAGGCACCCTCGCCCAGACCTGGCCTGGTGAGACTGAAAGTTCTCCAGAATGGGCCAGCTGTTGAGAGCAGTTGAGTGCCATCAGTTAAAGGAATAAAGGGAGGAGCAGAAATCAACCTGTGTCATAATAGGTTATTTTAACTACTCACAAATTGACTGGTTCAATATGTGTTCAAGTCAGGAGAAAGAGATTGGGTTTCTAGATACTCTCAATGACTGTGTCATGGAACAGATGGTCACAGAACCTACCAGGGGGGTGGTGATCCTGGACTTGGTCGTAAATAAGGCCCAAGACCTGAGAGATGTAAATGTGATAGCACCCTTGGGGAACAGTGTCCATAATGTTATTAAGTTCAACATTTATGTAAATAGGGAGTTGTCCCAGAAGACCAACACAAACACTTAAAACTTTAGAAGGGGTAACTTCTCTCAAATGAGGGGGCTTGTGAAGGAGAAACTGAAAAGAAAGGTAAGGAGGGTCAAATACCTTCGGGAAGCTTGGAGACTTTTTAAAACTACAATCCTAGAAGCTCGGATAAAATGAATGTCACAGGTTTGGAAAGGTACAAATAGGTATTTAAAAAGGCCTGCATTGTTAATGAACAAAGTAATGGAAACAGTAAAAGGTAAGGATTCCTTTAAGCGGTGGAAGGCTAGTCTGAGTGAGGTGGATAAAAGGGGTGTGTGTGCCAGGCTTTGGCAAATAAAATGGAAGTCAGTGATCAGACAGGCAAAAAAGGACTATGAGGAACATACTGCAAAAAATATAAAGACCAACAATAAAAATGTCTTCCAATACGTTAGTAGCATCAACGTAGCAAATGAGGTTCAGTGTGGGCAAATGCAAAACAATGCACATTGGAGCCAAAAATCCTAATTATAAATACACGTTGATGGAGTCTGAACTAGCAGAGACTGAGCAGGATCTTGGGAGTCGTGGAGTGAAAATGTCCACTCAGTGTGCAATGGCAATAAAAAAGGCAAAGCTATGATGGGGATTATTATTGAAAACAAATTAGTCAGTATCATAATGCCCCTGAATAAATCAATGGTGCAGACTCATTTGGAATACTGTGTACAGTTCTGGTCATCGCACTTCAAAAAAGATCTAGCACTGGAAAAAGTGCAGAAAAGGGCAACTAAAATGAGTAAGGGGATGGAACACTTTCCCTATGAAGAAAGGTTAAAGAGGTTAAGGCTCTTTAGCTTGGAGAAAGGACGACTGAGGGGTGACATGATAGAGGTGTACAAAATTATGTATGGGATAGAGAAGGTAAAGAAAGAAGAACTTTTCTCCCTTTCTCACAATAAAAGTGGCCACGCAGTGAAATTAATGAGCAGTAGGTTTAGAACAGATAAAAAAAGTCCTTCTTCACCCAAAGAGTAATTGCCATGTGGAATTCACTACCACAGGAAGTGGTGATGGCTACAAGCACAGACAGTTTCAAGATGGGATTAGATAAACATATGGAGCAGAGGTCCATCAGTGGCTATTAGCCACAAGGTATGGGTGGAACACTATGTCTGGGGGAGTGATTCTCTCTATTTTTGGTGCTTGGGGGGCAACAGTGGGAGGGCTTCCGGGGTTCTGGCCCCACTGGTGGACCTCCTGATGGCACCTGGGTTTTGGCCACTGTGTGACACAAAGTGTTGGACTGGATGGGCCATTGGCATGATCCAGAATGGCTTTTCTTATGTTCTTATGTAACCTAGAATCATAGAATCATAGATTTGGAAGGGGTCATACAGACCATCTAGTCCAACCCCCTGCCCAATGCAGGACCAGCCTAAAGCATCTCTGACAAATATCCATCCAGCCTCTTCTTGAAAGCTGTCAGTGAAGGGGAGCTAACCACCTCCCTAGGCAGCTGATTCCACCATTGAACCACTCTGACCATGAAAAAGTTTTTCCTAATATCCAACCGATACCTTTCTGTATGTAATTTTAACCCGTTGTTTCGGGGCCTATCCTCTGCTGCCAACTGGAACAGTCCCTTGCCCTTCTCCAAACGACAGTCTTTCAGATATTTAAAGAGAGGAATCATGTCCCCGATCAATCTCCTCTTCTCCAAACTAAACATTCCCAAGACCCTTAGCCTTTCCTCGTAGGGCTCAGTCTCCAGACCCCTAATCATCCTCATCGCTCTCTTCTGCACCCTCTCGATTTTGTCCACATCCTATTTGAAGTGAGGCCTCCAGAACTGCACACAGTACTCAAGGTGTGGCCTCACCAAGGCAGTATACAGAGAGACTATGACCTCCTGCAATTTCGATGCTATGGCCCTTTTAATACAACCCAAGACTGAATTTGCCTTTTTTGCCACCGCATCCCACTGACTGCTCATATTTAGTTTACAGTCCACTCTTACCCCAAGATCTCTTTCGCATACACTACTCCCCAGAAACATATCCCCCCATCCAGTATTTGTGCTTGACATTTTTGTGGCCCAGACGTAATACTGTGCATTTATCTTTGTTGAATTGCATCCTGTTTGCAACTGCCCACTTCTCCAGAGTATTCAGGTCTTCTTGAATTTTTACTCTATCTTCTTGGG